CACACACACACACACACAATCTCGCACATACACAAACATAAGCATGTAAAATACGCACAGCAAAGTAGGACATAAAGACACACCCATAAATCTACACACAAACACACGCACACAACTACACACGAACAAACAAACACACATATGCGAACATGCAACACATACAAGGAGAAAGAGAAAAGTTGATTTCAAGTTTGTTCGTTGACTTTCGCAACTCGGATGCAAAAGATAAAGTTAAGCTTACTGCACCTTACAATTTCAGTTTCTCAGTTTTCTCTAGCTCTGCATTCCAGGAAATTATTCTTCCAGTCGACAAGCAGTGTATAAACATATATTTGCAACAAGTGTTTAACAGCTTCGGTTTTATTCAGTGAGACAAGTATAAACCCGACCTAGAACACACCAGACTTGGCAGCGCGATTATGCGTTTTTGCGCCAAATTTACAGCGATTAGACGCACAAAAACGAACAGATAAACAAACAAACATGCATTTTCTGTGGTTAGCATTCGAGTCGACTGCTGTGCCGAATTTAACAGACTTGTAGAAAAACGCTGTGAATTTTCTTTTAGGTACATTTAAACTGAGAAAACTGAGGATGAAGATTAAGGTGTGAGCGGTAGGGATCTGCATAAATAGGGCACAGCAATTTTCGCATAAAATGTACGGGAGCAAAACCGGTCATGCATATTCAGCCACCTCGCTAGATGCTGAACAGTTGTACTGTAACACAAATAATGCTGGCGTAGTGCGGCATCCAGAAACCGCCGTTCCCTGTATCCCTTCCAGAAATATTGTGGATAATTTCGAACTAATTCTGAATTGCATACATCTTATTTCTGGGCTTCAGGACACAGACAGGTGTACGCCTCCTTACGACCGGAACAAATTCATTCGCAACAGCGTCAAATCCAGTAGCAATAGTGCTTAATTTAATCGAATTTATTGTCTGCATAAGTGCCTAAGTAGTTTGGTATGAACAGTGCTGGATCGAGGCAAAAAGCTTTAAACTGAGCCGAAGAGAGTTAAAATGAGGTGAAGCGTGCTTTGTTAAAATCAGCTGGATAATGAAAAAGTGAGTACCGAGGCGTATTAAATCAACCGAAATAACAGGAAGCTGTTTATCGGGATGTAGCATACGTGCCGACAATCACCAGATCCGAAGGCTCTGTAACAGAAACTCACTTACATCATTCAGTTGTGCAATTCGAAACGACCTTTCTCCGGCAGCGATTAGTTGTGCCAAAAACTGCTGGAACCACCAGAAAGGGCAGTGTTGAGCGCGACGCTGTAATAGGAGCAAAGGTCTGTACGGCGTTTCGGTGAACTATGCCAAAGCGAACAAAGGATGAATCGCTGTTTTTGACGGACTGAAAAGAACAGGAGCTTCCAGGAAGACCTCGCTTTTTTTGTTCGGAACGGGTGATTCAGCGAAACTTTCACAATATATTCGTTTTATAAGGACGAAAAATTCCACACTGCTGCAGAACACAGCAAGCCGCTGCCAGCACACAGACACACACACACACACATTTTCCGGATAACTGTATTGTAGTGTATCATCATTAATCACAACCAGATACCTTCTTTAAATCAAGATTTATTACAAATAAGGAAGATGTATGAAAGTTCAGACAAATCTTGATAATAGTGGATCCATTATGTACATTATGCAAAATGAGGCACGTATCGAGGATTTTAAAGAAGGGAGAACCACCAGACAAATCTGACTCTTGATTGGGGTATCAAATTAAGCAGTCCCTTCAGCGCCGGAATTATCCTAGACTGCTTCTGTTTCTTTCTCCTCTGCCTGTCAAGAAACTTTAAAAA